GGCGAAGAAAGACTGTCTGCATTAGCAATTATGAACATAAAGGCACTATAACAATAAACTATATAATGATATATCTTTTTTTTCTCATTGGATATTATAATTTAGATCTTATATAGGTAGGTGCATCCAATAAAAATATTTACTAAATAAAATAAATTATTTACCGAGTATTTAACTTTAATACGCCATGCCCATGGCCCGTGTACCAGCTACCATGATGGCATGATTTGTGTAATGAGTATACTCGCATAAATAAAAAAATTAGGAGGTGGGGACACAATTATTAAACGGTTTCGTCAGACCAGTAAAGAAAATCTATCTTTTTGAAATTTGATCAATTTAAAAATATAGACATAATACTTCAAGCATCTAACATATTAATAATTCCGAAAACTGAGACTTATGGATTTCCAAAAAATCATTACTATTTTTGTTAATTTGATTGTTGCTTGATATAGATGTGGTATCACGCGTATTGGATAATACGCGGTAAACCAACTATAGGTATGTCTCTAGAATAAATTCAGATTAGCACTATTAACCTTTGAGGCACGGTGATATGCGTTTTGTCGATTCTACGTCCGTTTCTTAAATTTGGAATGACTATTAGGACGCCACAACCAGAGCACTGTTCAGTTTGTAATAAACCTGATTGAATATAGGTGCGTGTGGGTCCGAGCACTGTTGAAATATTAAAGGTAAGAACGAAGAAGACTTTGAAATAATATTCAACTCTGGTTTTTAGGTCGGAAACGCTTTTATTACATTTAAAACAAACACAAATAAATCACTTAGCAAATTCAGATTGCCTAGCCCGTACTACGATCGACGTTTCCCACGTACAACCGTCGTACCTACGTCCTCGTCGAATCACTCAGCGACAACGGGACCCCCCCGTGCCTGCGAGTACGGCGGTGTTATATAGTAAAATATTATTGGTACCTCAGCACATATTGCTCCACTGGCCTGACCTATGTCAATAATTTATAATATTCCCACCTATATTATGTGTACATTACAGTGACGACTGTCTAAAATAGGTGAAATGGTTATAAAAATGGTATAAATGGTTTTTCTTTTTTTTTTTTAATTCTATTCGACTATTAACCGAATTTGTAATGAGATTCACTCGGTTTCTGAATCTCGATTTTTTTTTATAATAAATCATATTTTTAAAAGGGAGAAATTAGGTAACTACATATCACTCTGTTGTACAGTTGTTAGTTGAATATCAAATATCTAATATTAAATGAATATCAATATATGCAATAAATTATTGCATACAAAAAGCTATTCGGTGGCTTGGCGTGGCGTGATATGGTTGAATTCAGTCTTGAAGCGTGTTCTAAATGCAATCATCATCTGGTGTCAGCAATTCCCGGATGGGTGACCACCCATGTTTTTAGTGATAAATCCTTACCATATATACTCACAAGTGTTAAAATCCAACCGTACTCCAGCTAATAGTTGTTACTAGACTTGAGATCAATAAATAAAAAAAAAAACTATCTCTCTATCAGCCTACACTACTAAGTATATTATATTTCATGATATATTTATATTTCTACTATGGTAATATAAATAACTATTAGTAACTTTTACTATTAGTAATTAATTTTTGCCGAAAACATTGCATTTTTTTTTTTTTATTATTATTAAGATATGCATAATTCGTACTATTTAAGCATAATTATGTATGTGGCGACAGAAAAACATACATGCAAATATTAATAAGAAGCCACCCATTATAGTGGCACTTGACAATATTAATATTTAAATAGGTATTATAATAGTATTTATTTATATAATATATTATTGTAATTATAACTTTTTAGTCAATACCGAATTAACCTAGAATGGTGTGAGTAGTTCATAGTTTAAGTAGCCTGTAGCCAATAAAATATAATTAAGCTAAGTGTTTTGAAAATATCATTGTGTATTTAAAATATACTATTATAGGTATAATACGTACAAGTTTCTAAATTCATCCTCTTGGTTTATATATCTAACTACCTCCAAATTTAAACTTCAGATGTCTATAAAAGAAAAAAGGTTTTTTAGTATAATATTATAATATATGGTGACCTCATATATTAACCAAAATAACTAAAAATCATAAAAACACAGTTTATTTTACTAGATATTTTAGTTGAAATTCAGACAAAATTAGATATTTAAACGGAGAACAACGATTTTGATTATTTGTTTGTGATTTAAAAATGTTATTCGTGGGTAGATACTTGAAACTTTTGAAGTATTTACCTATATGAAATGTTTTCGGCAACAATTAATTAACTTATTAAGTTGCAAATTGTATATTATGCGAGTTGCAATTATAAATGTTTTTAATAAAATTAATAATTTTAAATTACAAATTGACAATTATTATAATATTTTATTGTTATATAACTTATAGTATATATGAAGGTCATGTACTTATCTTCACTAGTTATGACATTCAATTTTTATACGATATAAAAAAATATATTTATTAAATTATTAATTTGAGATGAGTCATGAGTATAGTTTAAATTAGTGAATAATAAAAAAGTAAAATGGTATACAGTGTACATTATGATAAAAGTCCAATAAAATTGTTTTTTATAATTTATAAATTAGAAACTAGAAAGACACATTCACTCTTTGTGTGATTTACATAGGTACTAATTAAAAAAAAAATATACCAACTTTTTTAAAACTGAGTTAAATTAATATTTTTTTCTATATTAACTTTGAACTTATCGAGTTATTGAGTGTACCATCGCTGGATGATTTCCCTCATCATGTGCTTCGTGTGTTTTATATGTATGTATAAAGTATTATGTCAGTTATCATACTTATTGTGCAAATTGTACAGATTGTAAATTTTCTTATAGAAATTAACAAAAAAAAACTTATTTAGTTATTTAGTTAGATTTATAATTTATTAACTGTTAACTTTTAACTTATCGATCTTGTGTCCTCTTAACTTAGCTTAACTTGAGTTAACTATTTTCATTAACTTGCCCCCTTTGATAAAATATACTTGTATAGTAATATAGGCTGATAGACGGTCTTCACTCAGAATAGTTTTGCGTATAGTACCTACAATAATTTTATATTATTGAATTCAAATTTAACACATCCATTATAGTGACCCATACGATACTTAATGTAAGTACAGAAAAGCTGTACTCGCTTGCCCACTTTTTTCACTTAATTATTAAGAAAACTTCTGGGAATGTTTTATTTTTAACCTCCCGCGACTCTCAACTCTCAAGTACCATTAGATAGATATTGATGTTGAAAACCAAAGCATTTTTTTCTACTGTGATAGTGAGTGTTTTCAGACACAAAAAGTAAACACATAACATCAATACATTCATGAATCCGCTCAGAATCTAAAACAAAGTAATAGGTCGATAAAATGACAAGTTAATTTTTAATTGGTTTTGAAATAGAAATTGCAGTTGATATTAAATATTTGAATGTAATTTTAATATGTTTTAATATAAATTTAAATTCTATGAAATAGCTTTATAAAAATAAATTAACTCAAATCTGATAAATATTAAAATATATAATATGATTACCATCACACAGAATTTTTACTAACAAATTAAGATATTAAAATAAATTTTTGATAAAATCTTAAAAGTTTTTAAGAATATTGAACTGTTCACTTATCAATAGTGTTAATATTTTTTGATTAAATTTGGAATGTATACGAGAGCATAAACGCGTTTGTAATAAATTATAAAATATATTTATAATAGGCAGTTTAAATAAATATTGTGATACAAAACTTTGTTGTTAATATTATAACAAATATTATAATGCAATAATGCATCATATAGAACGCTTAGTAATTTAATTTTTTTTTATTTAAAAATTGGTAATAATATACCAATGCTTCAAAAGTATACATATTGAGTAGTGAGCAGATGAAATTCTAAAAAAATATTTATATCATTTTTAATTACTTAATATTAAAATCATAATAATTTTTAGATTAAATAAAAATAAAGTAAAATAGAACAAACCGATGGGTACCTATATTCCTATATTATAAACGATTTTATAAGTAGGTTTTGGTAATTTTGCGATTAAAATCGTTATACTTTTTATAACATTTCTAAAATCGTATCATTTTATATAATTATAATGAAAGTGAAATAAAATATTAAATTAACTGCATATATTAATGTACCTATATAGTGTATTTTTAGATAAAAACTCGTAACAATCACGTATAACCCATAAAATATATAATAATCTTTATTACGAAGAATCAAAATCTACATTATTTAAATTTGTTATGTACATAACTTTTAAGGAATATTTTATAAAAAGCAGTTAAAAAAAATGAACACAAATTGGCTCGTTTTGCATTCAATATTATCATAATTACCATTTACCTTGTGTATGTATCGGAGTACTTACCTCCTATTCTACATCACTGCAGTGACAATGATGAAGGAGCAAAAAGTCTGAGAGTCAATCGATGTGGGACGGGATACATTTTAATGGCCGAAGGTCGCCAATTTTGCAGTATCCATATCATAATTTAATAATATTATGGTTATGCAACCCTTGGATGAGCATATGGGCAACCGGTTTTTGGACATAAGAAGACCAAACAAAAAACAAATACAGACTAAAAAAAAACCACGTATAATACGAATATACAATTATTTAAAACCAAATACATTTATATGATAAAAAAATCGATAAAAAATTGTAATAAAAAAACCTTGGAACGGATATCGAATATTTATCGCGGTAGGAGGGGTTTTTCGTGATAGATATCCATAAAAAATTCTCCCATCCCGGATTACTGGTTTCTTGACAATTTTTTTTTGCTGGAGACCATCCAATACTGTAAAAAATATTCCAATATTGTAGTGCCCGAGCGTGTACCTATATATAGTAAACGCCGACGTCCAGTAAAGTATCCAGTCAATCGGTAGCTACAGGGCTGAACAGTACCAACAGACAACAAGGCAGAAGCGACAAGCATTATGGCTTCAAGTGCTATGGTGAGAAAGAACAAGACTATTTTTGTGTTATACTTATCATACTTTTGTAGTTTTACAGTTAAACGACTTGTATACGTATTTCTTCCTATATTAAATATATAAAATAACTTAAAATTATGAACGTTAGTAACGATCCAATTTTATTAATTTAAAAATGATATAATCATAATATACTAGTACTTAGGTATACTTAGCATAACTTCTAATAAAAGTATTCCTTGTTTTATATACTTATTTGATAAATATTTACGTTTAAACATCGTCTTGATATAAAATTAGCTATATTCCATTTCATGTTTCAATGGATAATAATCACTGTAAAGTGTAGATGTTAGGTATATATTTTTCGACAGAAATTGACGTGTTGAAAAACCTTTTCACTATACTTCCTTCATAATTATTATTAATATCTGTCAGCATAAACATAAAAAATTTATAAGTTAGCAACAAAATACTTATCTTAATACACTTATATATAGGTAGGTATAGGTACTAGGTACACTTACTAAATATATAATATTATATTTTTGAAAATTTTAACTTATTATTTAGTTGATAATTATTTTGATAATATTATTCAGTTTTAATTGCAGATATAATTAAAATTTATGATACCATTACAATTTAAAGATATATGCAAATGATAAGCTAGTCAAATTATAAATTGATAGTTGAAAAATATAAACTTTATTCCAAATATATTTAATATTTAAAAATGCACTTGCATATAATAATATAAATAACTATATGCAGCCATGCAGGTATATAGTTACAGTAGGGACAAGTAGAATATACTTACAGCCAAAGGAACAATTTATTATTTATATTTATTATATTATGCAAATATAATCAGTAATCGTAGTTGTACACAAAATTATATTTTATTTCAATATTTTTTCTGATTTCGATATAATTTCATTATTATATGTTATGATACGAAAATAGTTATTTATTAATGTATAATTGTAACAATCATTGCTTTTTTCAGATTCAAATAGCTCTTCTAGGACTCCTAGTTGTGTCCACCACATTTGCCGAAGTCAAGAAAGAGAAGAAAAGAGACACCTTATTCAACCCATTCTCATTTGGAGCCAAGACTTTTGGCCCATCAACCCCAGCTCCATTTGCGTTTGGTAGCTCGTTCTCGACGACTGCTGCACCATTCAAATCCATTTCTTACAGCTCTACACCAGCTCCGTTCGCGTTCGGCAACTCTTTCGGAAACTCTTTCGGCAACTCCTTCGGCAACTCTTTTGCGCCGAATGCCTACTCCAACGCTGCCGCAGCTCAGTCCTTCGACGCTGCTTCGTTAGTTGGATCGTCCACACCCACTCCATTCTACGATGGCTCTTTCGGTTCATCTACCCCAGCAGCTTTCATCGGATCATCCACTCCAGCACCTTTCGTGTCTGGCGCCGCTGTCTCTAGTGCCGCACTATCCGACTCGAGCTTTGGGTATTCTTCCACCCCCGCAGTTTTAGTGGGCGGAGCTTCACCAGTTGTGTCATCCACCCCAGAACCCGTCCTTCTGAACAGATCACCAGCTTTCGCTACATCATACGGTTCATACTATTCTGGAGCTTTTGCCCCGTCATACTCTCAAGGTGCAATCATCAAGTCTGACGCAATTAGCCATGATGCAGTTGAAATACCAGCAGTAGCTAACGCCCCTGCACCTCATCATGAAGTTACCATCGCTAAAGAAGTTCCAGTTCCATACTACGTCCAAGTTGAAAAAAGAGTTCCATACCCCGTTGTGGTTCGTGTACCACAACCATACCAAGTAACTGTAGAAAAACACGTGCCATACGCTGTGCAAGTTAATGTAGACCGTCCAGTTCACGTTCCTCAACCATACCCAGTCGAAGTTGAGAAGAGAGTACCATACCCAGTTGAAAAGCCAGTACCTTATGAAGTGAAAGTCCCAGTCGACAGGCCATACGCAGTTCCAGTTCCAGTTGAGAAACCCGTGCCATACGCAGTTGAAAAGCCAGTCCCATACCCAGTGCGAGTAAATGTTGACAGGCCATACCCCGTAGAAAAGCCAGTACCATACCCATACCCCGTCGAAAAACCAGTGCCATATGCCGTAGAAAAAGCCGTGCCATACCCAGTAGAAAAATTAGTCCCATATCCCGTAGAGAAGAGGGTGCCCTATCCAGTCAGGTACGACGTTCCAGTTAAAGTTGCAGTTCCAGTAGAAGTTAAAGTACCAGTATCTGTGGACAGACCAGTCCCATATCCAGTAGAGAAGAGAGTGCCATACCCAGTTCAAGTTCCAGTTGAAGTTAAGGTCCCAGTCCCGGTTGCAGCCCCGGCTCAACGTTTCGCCACTGTCCACTATTATCAACAATCTCCAGTCGCTTTAGGATATGAATCCAGTGCTCTTTATGGTCAATCTGGTTACAAAGCATTCTCATCTGGTTTAGCTCAAGGTTCTGGAAGTGCATTGTACAGCTCTGTTCCATCATCTGGTAGTGCATTCTACAGCTCTACTCCAGCGTCTGCTGGTGCGTTCTACAGCTCTACAGCTAGCCCAATAAGCACATACAGTTCAACTGTCAGCCCGGCTGGATTCTACGGCTCAAACGTCGCCCAAGAAGGTTTCGTTGGTTCATCCGCAGCTCCATTCAACTTCGGCCAACAATCTTTCATCGGATCTTCGACACCAGCTCCATTAAACACTTTCTCCGCTGATTCAGCATCATCTGATGCATCATCTCTATTCCAGTCCAGAAACAATGGTGATGAGGAAGTCGCCATTGGAAGTGCATCTTTGAAGTCACAGGAATTGAAAGCAAACAACTTTGACGTTGTCAAGAAGTAAATCGTTAAAACTTCAAGTTTATCTGATATGGAATTTTCATTATTTTTAATGTTCACTGAATAATAATAATAATGGCAAAACGTTCTATTTATATTTTTTTAAGAAAGTATTTTTTTTTGCAGATTAACGATTTCAATTTTTAATCTGTAATTAGTGAGATTAAAATTATAAATAAAAAATAATATGTGCAATTAATCAATTTAATGTATTATTTATTTCATATTGTTCAACAACATGATCACGATAAGACAGTATAGTTATATATAGTTATAAAGTATATAGTTGGTATATATAGTTTGAAATCAATATAAATTAGTAAATAGTATGTACCTAATGAAAAAGTAGTCTACAGAAAAGTTAAAAAATATATTGCTCTTCAATATTAAGTAGTAGGTAGGTAGGTACATACTACATAGCTACATAGATTGCCATTGCCCATTACGATGATAGGAAAAAAAATTATCGTAATACATTAGGTAGTTAGTTGATTTATTCGTTACACCTTTTTGCACAAAGTGGTATGAATGTCACACTTTTACGTTGCTATCGGATTTTTCAAACTTTTAAATGTGGTAGCAGGTATCAGTGATATCACTTATAATTTTAGAGTTTTTAAATTTAATGTTACCTATAGTCAATATTAAGTCCATTAAGTCCGAAATTTTTTTAATTTTTTTTTACTCCGTTTTTAAGTTAAGTTCCGTAACCATATGGTAACGCTAGGAGCATATAATACCCATTTTAAAATAATCATATTTTTTTTCAAACAAATATCGGTATAGTAGGTATACAATTTCAACAATACAATTATTATTGACGAAATCAATTGTATTATTTTTATTATTATTATATAAATATAATTATAATACAATTATAAATATTACATTAAAACTGAATAGTTGTACACAAATTTATTTTTTATGGAAGTTAGCAAAACAATCGATACATAGTCCAACGTCACATTTGACACTCATTGTCCGTCCAACTGATTTACAGCCAACTTTTGTACACCTCCTTCTTTTCTTCTCTTGAGTATATGAAACTAAGTGGTCTATATGATCATATCTAATGTTATCGGAAACACGACTGTCGGATGATGACAGAGATCTTGAAGGTTTTCCTGCACCTATTCGAGCTATCCCATATCTTTGTAAATATGTAAGCACTAAGTCACGGCGGAAATCCAACTAGGTAATTTGTTTAGAGTTGGCTTTTTTGTACAAAGTCCAACTGTTGTTCATTGGAATTGGGTGGACTGCTCTGCTGTACAATGGTTGTCGAGCATGTCGTTGTAATGGATGATGTGTATTAGTGTATTATTATAGGTAATGTATATGAATTCAACGATAAATCATTGTATAAGAAAAACGATTCTGAGCGGAGACGTTGTGCCGTACTTCAGTATAAATAATCAAATTTAATAGTCTGTTAAAAAATGTTTTTATAAAAATCTAAAATATCTCATGGCTATAAATAGCGTGATTTTCAGGTGAACTTTTTCATTTTGATAGAAATAGAAAAACTTGTTGGAAACCTTCAATTAAAATGTCTTATGTTAGCTATGAAAAAAAAAACTTTTATGAATTTCTAACTGAAAAAAAATTTCCAAGATTTTATAATATTATCATAACTATAAAAAAAAGTCATAGTTTGAAAATTGTCCATGTATAGAAAATTATAATAAATATAAATAAATAAATATTTGGTGATTATTTCAAGAATCAAGAGTCTATACGGTTATTTGTTTTTGAAATACAACAAAATATCGAAAATCGATAAATGAAAATTCTTTAATTTACCGATGAAAATCCAATATCGTAAAAATTAAAACGCTCTTAAAAAATTAATGTTACTTTCCAGTAAACTTGTTTTTTGTTTAAAGTAGGATCGTTTGTGGGGAGTCTTCTATCAACATTTACAAATTATAATGTTAGCTATGAGAGGAAAAACTTTTATGAATTTCTAACTGAAAAATAGTTTAAACATTATCAAAATGTTGTCAAAATTTGTACTTTGAATGCATATAAAAAATAATCATGCCATTTTTTATATTTTTGAATTACATTAATGAAACCAATAAGGAACCTTGTATTAAATTGTCGAGCTTTTTTACTAAGTTTTTATCGAGAATAATTTTAAAAAATTTACTAATTTCCAAACATTTTTCAAGACTTATAACTAGCTAAAAAAGATTCTACATTCTTCGAAGTTGTTACCATTCATTGAAAATGCTATAGCATAATATAAATATTTGGTGAACATTTCAAATTTACGGTTATTAGTTTTTGAGTTACAAAATTTTCAAAAATTGGTTTTGCATAAAAATTACCACTTTTTTGTGTTTTTGATGCTTTCTAAAACTACTTAGAATTTTCAATTTCAACCTGCCCTAAAGTACAAACTAGATTCACTTTTCTATCAAAAAAGATGCTGATCTCGAAAATAGGACGGACAGAAAAAAAACCACACACATCATTGTAAAATCAATACCTACCTACATTCTTTCGCTCCGCTCAGAATCTAATATGTAATATAATTTGGATCGGGATTACCTCCCCCTTTTTGTGCGTTCTTATGTACTTATATAAAACATAAGCGGGACCCTAGGCTCGCATTTATAGGTTTCGCCCCGTCGGAATTTTGATCGCTACGATTCTGATATTATATCACAATATCGTTATGGTTCACTTTACAAAATTGAAAATATCGAATAAGACCCAAAGATGATGACAATGTCATGTATAATATTATTATATAGTCATGCGTAAAGGTACATCTAGGTAGGTACTCTACGTTAAGGCCTTAAGGGCTTACATTTATTTAAACCTTTTAAATGTTAAATATTACATTATTTAGTAAACGACTAAACGGATATTGTTTAAACTAAATAACGAATAATACTTTATGCCCATAAATTATAATCTGGAGCCTAGAGGTATTCAGATTTCAGACTATGCGTCGGGACAATCAGGGGCGTCGCGGGAGTTGCGAAGACGCGAGTCCCGTCAATAAGAACCGGTAAACAAATTTAATGTAATATATAAAGATAAATATTATTAAATAAATACATTTACATACATATAAACATATTTTTTTATTTTTTTTTTTGTCAGTAGTAATTTGAGAGCCGTCAAAATATTTTGAAGACACAAAGGAGTCGTGGAATGATAAAGATTGAATACCTTTGCTGAGTGCTGACTGCTATAGGTAATATTATAATCTATTTTATGTGATGTTTTCGTAGCAGTTCTGTCAGCACTACGTAGACGTCGATTGACGCTTGGCAGTTGGCAGTCAACGAAATACTAACAGATGAATCAATAATAGGTTGGAACATTATTATTATTATTTTTTTATTAAATTGAATCAAATTTATATAAGATAAAATAAATTAGGTACGCAATCGTACAAATTGTATTCATTAATTGAACCCCTTTTCTAAGGCTTTAATCTTATCTTGTGGTGGTGTAGTTGAAATTAATATTATCTTATTAATTATTACAGGTAACAATTATTTATAATTTATAATTTTGTCCAACAAATAATAATTTAAATCGATTGACGGACAAGGCGAGTAGGCAGTGCCGGCTCAAGGATTTGCGGGGCCTGGTGCGAAATAATTTTTTTATGAAAGAGTTCTCTTCCTGAACACTTAAAAAAATATACAAAATGGATATTAGGACACGATTCGGTCAATAGTAGGGCCCCTTAATAATGGTTTAAATAAATGTGCTTAATGAATAAGTCTCCCCGATTTCATGAATTTGTTACGCTTACTGGACCAGCTATTGATTATTATTTATTACTTACAAGTTTGTAGTTTTCAAACTAACCGTACTTCAATGTTTATTAGTAGTGCGTCAAACCTTATACGTCTACATTATATACCATATAAATAGTAAATACTACGTATTCATTAAATGTTCTTAGGTTCTTGCCAACAATTTTAATTATTCTGATAAGTTCAATAGTATGATAAATAATTTATAATAAAATCTTCTTTTAATACATAAAATATTAAACAAAGAAAGAACATGAGAAAATAATTTATTGTAATAATATTTTTAAAACAAATAAAATGTATACAATAACTAAATAAATTATTTTTTTTCTGGCTTTTTGATGCGCAAATTGGTCGATAAGTTGGCTGTAATCTAATGTTTCTGCTAATTCATTTTCAATTGAAAGCGTCGCTAGTCCAGAAAGTCTGTCTTGAGAAATGGTACTGCGAAGATAGTTTTTTATGATTTTCAATTTCGAAAAAGCTCTTTCTGCACCTGCAGAGGCCACAGGGATAGTCAACAGGATTCTAAGTGCAATGGTTATATTAGGAAATGAACTACAAGATGTTTTAAGAATCTCAAGAGCTTGAAGGGCAGTAATATTTTCGTTTACCATGGTGCGAAAAATTATTAATTCATTGCATAAATCAGCTGCTTCGATATCTCTGGATTCACCATCTGTTAGTGTCATTTGTAAATCTTGACAATGTTTAAATAACTCATCTTCCCTCATATTTTTCAACTGACCAATTCTGTACAAGAATCCAAATTGTTCATTGTAGTTAGTTATTTGTTCAAATCTTTTTTTCACTGATGCCAGCGTTTGGTCAACTAACACTAAAAAGTACTTCACTCTGAAATTTTCTTCCTCGTTAGCCAAAGAATCATCTATATTCTCATAATCAAACATTTTGGTTTTTTTTCTAATTCTATTTTTTTTAAACTTTATTTCAATTCCCATTGGTGATATTATTTCTTCTGCTTTAACCTTAGCTAATGTATATCCATTTTCTCTATAGTTTTCCAAAAAAATAATTAAGCTATTTAGCAGACTTGCTGAAACATCTAAATCAATTGTTACTGACTGTAGACTCTTACTTACAATATTTATTTCACATAAAATATCATACCATATTATCAAACTTAAAATAAATTCATAGCTACATATTTCTTTGGCTAAAGAATGTGTTTCACTTTTTATTTTTAAATCTTTTGTTGTATCCGAAATCTCCTCTAAAGCTTCTACAACTTCGTTTAATTGAAATCGGATGGCTTTCACAGCGTTCACACGACTGTCCCATCGGGTTTCTGCCCATTTTTTAATAGAAAGTTTATTACAATGATTTTTTAAAATTTCCCATCTATTTATTGATGCTGAAAATAAAACATAAATCCTTTCAATCATTCCAAAAAATAATTGAGCCTGAGAAGAACTTCCTCCAGCATCCTTGAGACAAAGGTTAAGGCTATGTGCGGCACATGGAACAAAAAATGCGCGAGGATTTTGGCTTAAAATATGAGCCCGTACACCTTTATAGAGACCCGCCATATTAGCACCATTATCATAAGCCTGTCCTCGACAGTTATTTATGTCGAGACCATACTCTTTCAGTTTTTCAATCAAAATGTTTGATAAATCCATTCCAGTAGTTGAGTTTATATGTACAAAGTCCATGAAATATTCTTTTATTAATTAGGTAATTTAATAGTTAAATATATTTTTTCAAGTAAGACATTTTTGAATGCTCCCTAAGTACTATATTGGTCAATGTATCAAAGTTTAGCGCCCTTATTTCATATATAAGGTAAAGGTGCAAAGCGCGGGGCCTTCGAAAGCGCGGGGCCTGGTGCCGGGGCACACCTCGCCCCCCCCTTAAGCCGGCCCTGCGAGTAGGTACCTACCTACAATGCTTATTTATTTCCTTACGTGTTTTTTGCAATATAATTAGGCTATTTTTTCATGATATTACATATTATTATAAATTATATAAGATGGTAATAAATATTGGATTGAGATAAAACAAAGTAAATGGAAATTAGATTGCGAGTAAAGCGATCAGTATTTTTGAGTTACCTACCTATAGGTATGGGCTGGTCAAAACTTTTGCCCTCTCTCTTAAAAACTGAAATGACGGATTTCCTTATTGTACAACTAATTTTAAACCAACCTCATAGAATATACTTTATTGATATTAGCATTGAAAACGGTTGTTAATAGGGGTTTAAATGTAGTGAAAACATTTTAGGTTGTTATGTATCAAATCCCAATGTGATGGCCGATGGGCCTAATGATCGGATTTTTAGGTTTTTAAAAATTAAAAGTTTAAGCTATATGATGCTTATTTTCTCTAAAATATTAAAACACTGATGTTCTAAACATTGAATCATTTTAATTATTTTTTTTATAATACAATTATTTTTGTGGGTACTTATTATAAAATTAATCCCCATTTGGGAAATGAATAGTTTTATAGACAATAGCGCAATCGATTTATTTTAACACCAATAACTAATCAAATATTCAATTTTATTTCTATTTACAAATTTATTTACCTTTCTAGAGTTGTATAAATTCAATAAATAATTATATGAAAACTAAAAATCAAAACTCTAGCTGAAAGGCCATAGGTAAACTACTTATGCTATGTTGCTATATTGTCATGATTCGGGGGTTGGTATAATTTTAAGTTTTAACTAACTGATATAACCTGTAAATTTCTTGTACAGAAATCTGACTAGAAGTAATTAGGATGTCATATATTCTTTATAATTTAAAACTGTGAACTATAATTTTATTTGGACATATTCTTACAAATAAGTTGTGTTGGACTTATACAGATTTTTGAGACTCTAATTTATGAATTATTCAGACTTTCCCTCATCGATATTATTAAACCATACTGAAAGCCTGACTTGTACACAGCTTGGTACAGAAATTAATGAAATACAACTTTTCAGATCACAGATCACATAATTATGTGATAATATTAGTATGCCAATATCTTATTTTTTTTTTACAATCCACATTAATATACCTAATCTAATACAAAGTTGAGATGTTAGAATCAATGTATACAAACTTTTATTTATTATTTTTACCAAAATGTATTCATTTTTTAATTTTTTGATTATATAATATATTATTTATGTGGGGTCGCATAAAAATTCATAAATTTATTAATTTAAATTAACAAAAATTGAAGACCCGTTATAATTCACGGGCCACTAAATCATGTTTAAGCGATCATTAGATTACTATTGATTTATTAAAATATGTTAACTGATTGTTTAAGCAACCTTGTGTGTAAAAATTAATAGTTTAAGAAATATGATCACCACATTTGTACCAGTGGCGTACATTCAAATTTGCTCTGGGGGAGGTTTAAAAAAAATAACCAGCACTAAAACCTTCTCTTTGCAACTACCCATTTTCCTAACAATCAAACACATTACACGTATAAATATTAATAGGCAAAATAGCAAAACAAATACAAAGGTTTACGTAACTCATGGTATTTAAATATTATTTAATATTCACATAGTAAGTACAGAATATTATAAATATTATATTATTAATTATTTATAATAAAAATTCTATTGATTGTGATATTTTAAATTCGAATGATTTTTAAAGTCTTCCAATGCATGTTTCCAATCATCATATTTTTTTTAATACAAATGCTCCCAATTTTTGGTTATTAACACCGGCTTCATTTTTAGTAAAAGAAACACAATATTTGCAATACGCACAATTGTTTACTTCTAAATAGGCCAACCAGGGAAAGTTAATTAGCCATTTATATTGAAATTTCAACCTCAAAACTTTTTGTTGCTTACCGACTACTGATATTTTGATAGGAAAATTGTAATTAATATCAGGGACCCAAATTTTGCTCAAAATTTCTTCTATTTCACTTTGCGTTAAAAATGTATTTGTGTAATGTGCAATGTCAAAAATATTATAACTGGAAGATGTACGATTAATATCTGTAGTCGAAGGTGTAAACTGAGTGATAGGTGTATCAGATGCAGATGCAGTTGATGGTAATGAGGAACTAGAGGAACTTATAACTGTTGTATTCAATGAATTTGACAATGAATTCATTATTGAGGGTGGTTTCGAAAAAAAAGATTGCAGTTTCGATTGTTTTTTTTTCAGCCATGATTACTATTTATTAATAATTTTACCTTAAAAACCTAAAATATATCGAAATCGAATGATAATGATTATGATGTGATAATAATAATTTTTGACTTAACTACTAATTTACTAAATTTATTTTTTAATCAACGTTAAATTAACGAATTAATTTTTTTATTTGTAAGTTAATTTATTTTGTTTTTCATTTTTTTACATTTCATTATTTAAGTCTATTTTGTTGCCATGTCAAAATTTCAATAATATAGACATAATATTATGATATAGTTTGCCGACACTAAAATCTAAAAATAAACAAAAATAAATAAATCAATTACCTATTGATTTTATGATTTTACGGTTTTGTGAGATTATTAATTATTATTAAAAATTATTATGAACAGTATTCACGTTGATAGTTAAAACATTAAAATTAAAAATACCTACTCATCGTACACAAATAATATCTGTTTGAAAGACAACTAAAATATATAATACTTATTTATTATTATTTATTACTTATTACTTATGTGATAGGTAACTTCTGTACTTAAAAATACAATATATACTATATCTATATGTGTATGCATATTAACTTAACTGAGTTAAAAAAAAAAAAACTTAACTCGCCCAGTCTTGTGTGTTTATAATGAGTCGATCGAGATAAAGACAATATTAATATGTATTTATATCCGCACGCAACTAACTGACTGTGTACGATCAAAATAATGTCTATTTTGATTGATATACCATATTATACGGCACCCATGATTTCGTTATGAAATCTTTTTTCGTTGTTGGTTAAGTACCTATAGTGTTTAGTGTTTACTCAATAGTCATATTATTATGACGTATATTTGTGTATACACGGTTGATTAATAATAAGAAATTCATCAATAATATCACATTATTTTTTTTATTTTTTTTTTGGTCCTGGGGGGGGGTTTGAACCCGAAAACCCCCCCCGTATGTACGCCACTGATTTGTACAGTTAAAATTCATCACAATTGTTTATGTTTAGATATATACCTACAGATGTTTAAGCACATTTTATTGATTCAAATAACTAATTGGAAAAATAAGCAACCAAATCCAATAAATTTCTTTCACTGGTTAATCACACATTGCATGCATACAAGACAGAAGTAATGTTAATATAATGCGGAATAGTTTTAACACGTTGACTGCCACGCGGCCCCCGGCGGCCATAATAATATGTATCATTGGTGCGCCAAGCAAATTTTCTGGTGTCATTACAAATTTGTATATATACTATTGAATTGTATGTTTACTAAAAAATTCAAAAAAAATATTAAAAATATGTTTATTACATCAAAAAAATTGTAATTTTTCCAACTACGCCACGGCGCATTTTTCAGTTCATTATTGTAGCGCCATGGAAAAGCTAATAATATAAATCTAAATTCATTTACGGCAGCCCGCGGCCGTATGGCCTCCTAGGAATGATATGGTGCGGCAGCCGGCGGCCTAAAAATGATCGATACGTAATTATTTTTATGCGGCCGCATGGCAGTCAACGTGTTAATTTAAAAAAATCATCTTGGTCACATAAATTTAAAAAAAATTATTTTTATTTATTAAATCCCAAAATGTTTATTTTTGAAAGAAAATAGTTATTATAATAGATTTTGTAATAAAATCATTTTGAGGTATAAATTATTTTACAAGTCAGAACCACTGGATAATACAATTCACGCATGTATACTGTAAATAATTTATCTTATCTTCTATAATCATTATTATAACCATAATTTGGTTTTTTATGATGAGAATAATGCGAATGTCTATCACTCCTGTCTTCCCATTTTCTTTTATTATCTCTTCTACGATTCCAGAATGGTCTATATGAAGGAACTACAGGTGGAGTTGTAAATCCAAGTTTTACTAAAGCAACATAATCTTCATCGTCATCTGTGTATCGACTTATAAACTCCTCTTCAAATTGTAATAACTTTTCTTTCTGATTCTCTGTTGGTGGTTCATCAACACATGTTTCATGGATTTTATATGTAGTGATGTTGTCTTTAATAACTATTTCATGTTTGCTGTCAGTTGAATTTTGATTGCCTGGAGATGACATTTTTAATCTGAGATATCTTCTATTGTAGAAAAATGTTTTGGCACCACAATCAACGAGTCAGCATCTTAAACAAAGAACCAACATTATAATGAGATTAAAGATATTATTTAGAATAAGAAATTAAATTAAAATTAGTGGATATTAACGAGAACTACAACTGCTAGTAAATATTATATGGACGCTAATGTTTTAATAATATTAAAAATTAAAATATTAACACATTTTTCTCTGGGCAGCGTCGGAGGGTTAGATATAGAAATGTATCCTGCTAAAATTTAAGCCCCTTTATATTAATATGTTATATTTTTATTTACCTACCAATTAAGTTACCAAGTATTACTTTAATTAATTCACCTTTAGTATATTCCTGACATCGATACATGATATTTATACCTAATTTTTAAGGAATTACAATTTTTTTTTTAAACAAAATGATTTAATATGTAGTTTAAAATTCAAAACAATTACATGTACAATACCAAAATGATTTATAATAGTTAATTATTATTATATCAATAACTGAGCATACTGCATTCATAATATAATCAGTAGAGTGAATACTGCACGATAGCCCAATATTTTATTTCATGGGTTGCCAAACTACAACCCGCGAGCTGAATTCGCACCGCCAAGCTAATTAATGTTTTGAAAATAATATATTTAATATGCAGTAGAAGCCGCTTATTATATAATTGATACAATAGCGTTATTGAAACAAAATGTACCGGGACGGACAGGCCGTATATTAGAACATCGAAAATAAATCGGATAATTGAAACATCACATCAGTTATTTGAAACAATTGGGCAAAGGTCAGTTGAAATATACACCGGATATCTGTGCGATAATCAATGTAATTTAATCTTATCTTTGCTGTCGTTACATTTATATTTGATAAATTATAAGATGATGAAGAAGAAAACAGCGAGGCACCCCTGGCACCCCCATCAAACAAGAAAATTATAGAAGCTCTAAGTGTCCTCAGGAGAGTTGTTTAGCAGCGTGTGGATGAAATAAGTTTTGAGCAGCATTATTCATATGAAAATATGGTTATGGAGTTACTTGAAGCAAAAAAAACAAACTTCAATCGGTAAATATTTGAAATAATATAGTAAGATAAATATTTTAAATATGTAATATAGTAAGATAAATATTTTAAATAATATACATATACATACATACAAAATTAAATAAATACATACATAAATAAATTGTCCACGTATTTTTCATTTTTCTTTCATAGTACAAATCAAACAAATCGCTTATTAGAAACAATCGGTTAATTGACACATTTCACTTTGGTCCCAAAGTGTTTCTAATAAGCGGCTTCTACTGTATTTGTTTAATTTATTTTTCATTGTTTTTAATTTATTGATTTAGGTAATTAAATAAAATGTATTTATTTATTTATTTTTGTTGGTGTTATTAATAATGGCTTATAATAGTCATACATAAATACTAACACTAACTAATAATAGAGAAAGTGGTTACAAAATAAAAAAAATATATAAATAAATAGTACTAGTTACTAGAATTTTTTATTTTTTATTTACTAACAACCAACAAATTAAACTCACGTAGTTCGTTAATAATACTTGAGATGATGACAACATAAAACCCTTCTTTTGATGGGTATATTTTATCACTAGTAGCCAAATGTAAAGGTTCAAACATCCTAAAACATAACATAGTTCATACAATACATACATTTATCAATATATTATGTATATTAAATAACTAGTAGCAGTGCTTGAATTGAGGGGGGTCGAAGTCCACTTTCATTGTAAAAAATATTTATGTATACCCCTTCTAATTTTTTTCCAATTCAAGTATTGACTAGTAGTAATAACTATATATTAATTAAATATTAGAAACAAATTGTCTAAATTAAAAGCTACTCCTAAATATCAAATAAAATGTAAGAATGTAAGCTCTATAAATATATGATGATTGATAAGGTACTATTACACATTTTAAAATAATTTGTTATTACTACCTATAGTATTTTGAATTTATTATATTTTGACATCATAAAGTAAAAGTAAATTTTAGTAGATAACTGTTAATTAACCTGGATGTGTATACTTCCATTACTAGGCTTGTAATTTTAAGCTCTAAAAAACAAAGAAATATTTGACTTCGTATTTTTTTTTTATACAAAATATATATTTTTACCCAAATAATTTAATATATGCACAACTTTAAAAAAAAAAAAAAACATGTGTTTTGGACACTTTTGGTGCTTTATATCGTTTTTGATATTTTAACTAAAATTTATAAATATAAAGTTTAAAAAACTATTTTTATCAGATATATAAAATATAGAACGTGCAAATTATTTTTATATAATGAAAAAGTTGACTATAGTAAATTAATTTTTAATGTTAATACTACTGCTTTTAAATGAAATTGAAATATTATTATTTAATTAACAAAATATGAATTAGGAAAATACAGCCCAGTCGCTAACAAATTATTAAAATATACAAAGATAACATTTTTTCAATTATTTGTGAAGAATGTATTATGAAAGAAATGTTTGAACCAGATTTGGAATATTTTGGTTCCAAAGTAATATACAAATACATAAGTTTTGAGCACTGATTATTATAATTTTATAATAATAAATCAATATCTTATAGATCGTGTTGGTATAAATAAATAAATTAAATGTTTAGATATAGCCATATAGGTATACTCTATAAACTTACCATCCAATATGACGTCCACATTTAGCACATACACAAACTTTCCAAACGTAACCAGGAAACCATGAATCTTCAGTCTGCCACTATCAACAAAATATAAATACACTATTATTTATTGCATATTGCATATAATAACATTTTTTAATTAAAAATATTATTTCAAAGTGACTTGGACTTTGGAGGTTTAAACAATTTATGAGAATGTCTATGTTAAATATAATATTTATACTAATATTTTAGATCAGTGATATAAATCAGTGGTCAGCAACAAGTTTTTGAACTTAAATGACTTAGGGTCATATTCAAAAATTAAAAATTTTATTAGAAATTATTTTATTTTATCGGTGAGTATAAATACAATTCAATTATTTTAAAGATATAGAATGGGTAAATTCAAGAAAATATATAAATATAAAATAATCAATTAAATTATCATATTGGAGCGGGTTGTAAGAAATATCAAGAGGGGGGATGAAGCTAGTAGCCGACCACTGATTTATAATAAAAATTAAAGTTAAACAAATTTAGTATTTTACTTACATTGCCTTTTCCAACACACAAAGTTTTAGATAGTGTAAGAATTTCAAATTGTGAGTGCAATGAGTTCTTTACAGTTTGGACTTTGACATCTTTTAAACCAAATAATGGAGATACACGGCTATCTGAAGCAGCTGGACTGTCAATTGATATAAGTGATGATAATGGTGAAATATCTGTGCCACAGTGCCGGCAAAGAAAATAGTCCTTGACCGTTTTTGATAAGTCTTCAGAGTGAATATCAGTGTCCTGAAACCTGACTGAGTTCCCATATGCCAGACAGACAAATAAAATAACCACAGCAAACACCATTAGACGGATACATTGAAATTTCAATAAAAAACTATAAACTGGAATAAAAAAATAAAAAAAAACAATTAATAAATTGAAGGGCTTAAAACCAGTTTATAATTAGCCAGATAAAATCTTGGTTATTTTATTATCTAATACCATAACGGAGGCCAAAACCAAGAGCTATTAAACTGGTTTTTAAGTTTTTGATCTTGGTTAGTGTTAGAAAATAGAAAAACATAGGTTTTACTAGGTTTGTTAAAAAATAATTTGGGTAACATGGGTGACCACCCACCCAGGTTGGTAGTGAAGAATCCTTACCCCATATACACATGTTCCATCAAAACTATACCCCCCCCCCCACCACTCAGTAAAAACCAGTTAATAACCAGTGTTGTGAAGTATTTGAGTAAAAGTACTCAAACAATGTTTTCTGTATTGAATACTTCTTTAAATACTTTTTATTTTGAAGTATTTGAATGGTATTTTAAATACTTTTTGATCATAATATTATATTGTAGGAAAATTTACCAAAAGAATCACATTAGGTACTCTAATTTTTATGACAATGAAAAATAAATAAAATATAAATCATACAAATGATAAATCCAATTATTTTTATTATTAGTTATCATACATTTTGAATTGGATAACTAATTTGTCTATGAGTATGCACCAAACACAGTGAGGTAATTGTTATATTATCATTGATCTAGTAACATAGTTTTTTAAATAATAATAATAAGTATTTCAGATTAAGCAATGGAGGAAAAAAGGGCTGAGAAATACGACGGCAAGATGAGATAAAAAGCAATCCTGGAGCTCACTCTAGAAAATCCATCCCAAAAAATGTAGGGAACGATCATGAAACAATTGTACCACCATAGTTCACAACAAGCACTTTTCTCTTATACACTGTCTACAATAATGTTATTTTAATTAGTGAATGAATTAACTGTTGAGTGAAGCATTAACAAAATATTATAAATTTAATCTATACTTGTATTGGTTGGAATATTTTCAAATTTTAAATTACAGTGTTTCAAATTCATTGTTAAGAATACTTTTACTTAATTATAGAACAATTACAATTGTTTAAAATGTATTTCTTATCATATTTCTTATGATCAATTTCTGTTTATATCAATATATTACAAAAGGACACATCATACATTTTTCGATACCCTAGATTTACAACATATTATTGGTTGTACTCATATGATACATTTAAAATGATTTATGGGCGATATTTAGACATTTTTAGGAAGTTTTCAACGTTTGAGAGATGGTTAAATGGTTTACACTTTACATCTAACTTTATATTATGATTAAATCATTTATAAAAAATGTTGCACTTAAAAAAAATTATGTCTTAAGCAATTTGAAGTAGGTAGATAATGAAATGTACCTATTATTTATACGATAAAAACTATTTTTTTTATTAGGTACCTACTACCACTGAAAATAAATAAAGTATTTATAATCAATGCTACCTATTCAATTTTAATATTTTATACCTAGCCACCTAGGAAACAGTTCAATTGTTTGTAGTGTTACGTGCCAACTACTACAGTTGTTGAAATTTAGGAAGTAAATTGAATTGACTCACGAAGATGACTTATAATTTGTATTTATTGTACTCAAATAAAATAGTTATGCAATATTATTCTAAGTCCAGAATAATTAATTTAAGTAAAACGGTTATAAGCGAGTTGTGACTAAGTATTTTAGCTGGTGGCTGTTCGAGTTGAGGCTGGCTGCTCGTCTGATGAAAGCTTGTCCCTCAGCTCTCCTCGATGGATCTCTGTCCCTTGTCCCTTCCATAAATTCTAAGACCATACATGGTCCTGTGGTTAAGCCTAACGTGATTCACACGCTTGCACGCGCCGGAAGTTTACATATATCTATATTGTACATTTGTGGTGTTATTTAACATAACATCACAAATCTAAACTATATTATTTTAGGATTATTCATATACGTAGTCATATATCTATCGTCGCACGCCGCTCATGGTCACGCACTCGATATTACTATTATTGATATTATTACTATTAATCTGTACTCGAGGAAGCATTCGAGTATAATATTTATATTTACGCGAAGCGTATACATTGTAATGTGTCTTTAGACGAACCATGTGGCAAGATAGTATTTATATTTACGCGACGAGTATAGTATATGATTACTTATACATTATAATGTCTTTTTAGACGAGCCATGAGGCAAGATAGTCACAGCTCGCTACAGTAGGTACATCCTAATCTATTGGTTAACCTTAGTGCCTAATATTTATTCATAGTAAAGAACAATTGTTTTTGTAAAGAATATTTTGCCAACAAATTAAATAATTGTCTAGGCCTAGACATACCTAACTCTTATTAGAAAAATAATAATAACTAGCAAAATAAAAACAATTTTTTTTAAATACTAGATAATTTTTAAAAAGGTGTTGATACCTACAATAAATTTTGTCTATAGCCCACTAAGTTTTACTAGTATTTTACCTAACACAAAATATCCAAATTTGTTTCTATAATATAATAAAAAGTTCTAATTTGGATAATTTTGAAGTTACTATTGCATCCATATTTGTCAGCTACACAATATCTTTTAAGTTTTAACTCTATCGGGTACCTAGGTAGTAGGTACCGCCATTTATAACAGTTTAATATAACATTTTAAAAACTCCACACTCAAACTCAATACCTGCTATTGCGTGATTCTAAATAAAATTTGAATCCGTAATCGAAACATGGTCCGTCACACAAATTTCGTGAACACAAACTTACCTTTGACCGGAAACACGCTGGGAAGTAGGGACAATCAGTCGCGACAACAACGTATGCGTCGTTTGTTGAACAAAATCGTTCTTTGATTTGTTCAGCGTTTATTATATAATAGTATTATTATTGTTATGGAGTGGCAGTGAACAGCAGAATAAAATAAAACAACATGTCAACACTAATATATTGAATTAAATAATATTAATTATTATTGTGATAAATATGTATATTGTGTACACATAATAACAACATAAAGTATAAATATTAAATTATAATAATTTATCGAGTACAGTGAACAGCAAAGTTTGTTGTGCATGGACAGGACAATAATACAAAATTGAAAATATAATCGTCATCGGATGATCGGCAATCGGTACTCCGCAGTCCGCGCCCGCGCGTTATCATTACCACTCGGGCCGGCTTATGTAGTCTTTGGACTCTGGGGCCTGCGTATCATTGGCCATCGCACCCCACTATCCCACCCACTACACACTTCGCTTAGCGCCTTAGCAAATGGCAGTATGTACTATGTTGTATACTTGCATACGAAATACGAATATGCAGATATGCTATAAAAATTAGTTAGTCGATAAAATGGTATGAGTGTATGACTTATGTCGCATGCGAAAATAAGTCGTATGATTATTGATTTGAAGAATAAAATTGGGCCCCTGGGGAGCGCTCGGTAGTTCAGACTTCAGGATGATAAGCCCGTTCAGGCGTTCAGCACTTAAAGCTCAACAGTTAAACAGTCAACTTACTGTAGCGGTAGCCTGTAGGACGTTATCTGTTATCCCCACTTGACCTTCCCATTCGAAAATCGAAATAATTGATATTATAAATAAATAATCTATATTCAGCATTTCAACCAATCAAAATAAACAACTGACGAAACTTTAAAGTTTAAACTATTATTTATTTAATTGAAAAATGTGTATAGGTACATTTAAAAAAAAAAAATTTTGTATTAAGTTGTTTAATATAGATCGCACCATTTTCAGCTCAAGTCGTCTTGGAGGGTTTCTTTGAATAAAATTGTTGGAGTAGAATTTCATTCTCACCATCCCTAAACATATTTTATTTTTAAGGTCTTAAGGATCCCAATTCCCGTGAAAGACCGAACAATTTTAACTAAATTAATAAACCCGTTGGCTATAACCACTATGTAGAGAAAATATTTTCTTGTTAATAATTATGGGATAATATGTATAAAGATAAAAGGAGCGGCTAAAAGTTACTGTCTACAAAAAAAAATAGCGCAATAGGTCTTCAGAAGATCTTCTAAGACCGTGGTGGCGTGGTCTAGACCAGTGTTGCCACGCTTTACAAAATGAAATAACGTACAATTGAAGTTAAAAATCTCGTATTTTTATCAAAATTATCGTACAATAATATTTATCATAACCGCGATTACAACTGATTAATGAATAGATAATAGATACACGGCACGGACTAAGATATACAGGACTGGACACGACAAGGTTGGAGGGTGTGGGGGGGTTGACTACGAAATGTTTTACAACAGGCAGTGTTCGGGGGGATATTTTCCTTTTAGCATTACTAGCGCCGTCTTAGTGGATACTTATGGAACTAGAAATTTGTAAGATGTGTTCTAGTTCCATAAGTATCCACTAGGACGGCGCTAGTAATGCTAAAAGGAAAATATCCCCCCGAACTCCGCCTGTTGTAAAACATTTCGTAACCACAATATTCATCTCGTGTCCAGTCCTGTATATCTTAGTCCGTGTACACGGGTTTTAATCATGCTTTAATTATTCTGTGTTTTAATTGGTGTATTGATTACTATTGAATACACCTTGGGTTTAATATTATAGGTTAATGAAGTAAATAAAGTAAATTTATAGGTACAGGTACAACCATTATACCTTAATATCTATCGTAGACCGTGGTAACGTTGTAGGATCATCATCATAACCAAAATCATTACCATAATATTATGTTCATTAACAATATCCAAATTTATAACCTTATTATTTTCCTTCGAAGTAGTTCGAACACATTTCTATCAAAATGCAAAATGAAAGTTACAACATTTTCTTGTACTTTACCTCAAAAGTCAAAAATCAAATACATATTCTCCAATACTTTATTATAGAAACAAAAGACAGTTTATTCAATTTATTTTCACTCTAATAATAATTGTAGAAAGAATACCTATCGATTGTATTTCATTATCAAGCAATGTTAATCTTAAATTATCTTAAAATGTACAATGTCAAATAGAAGTTATACTGGACCATTTATTAAATAAATAATACTAAATATATCACCTATCTTAATTTATTTATTTAACTATATTAATGTTTTTAAAAATATTTTTATATGCATAATATTTTTTATTTTCTTATTCACAGCAGGAATTCTTAAATCATCATATCAATACAGAAATATATTTTGGAGCACTTCGATGTATCAAAAAACAAAATCGAATTTCGGACGATTAGTCTATTTGTTAAAGTACTTAAAGTTTAGGTGAGCGCTCGAATTAAGATATACATAACATATAATAATGTTATGTATATCTTAATTCTTGGCCCTTGGGTGAGCGGAAGAGAGTGGTATATAGGGGTACCCGTGGTACTCCACCGTCCACAGTCCACAGAACACCAGTTATTTTATCTTCAAATATTTATGGCAGATAAACTACTTGTTTGAAATTTGCTTTGTATCGATAAATGCTATTCGAAAAATATTCAACAATGGAATAGGGAATTAACAATATATTATTTTTCATGAAATTTACGTTTTAGTAATTTAGTCAAAATTCTCGTATAAAATGCGTACGAGATTGCTCTTTCCTCGTACCTCGTACAAATGTATAAAAATAACGTATAAGTACGAGAATTCTCGTACGTGTGGCAACACTGGTCTAGACGGTCTAGTATTCTATTGAATTAGTAAATAGTGATATTTAGTAATTACGATAAGGAATAAAGATAACCCACGGATTTTTATCACTGTCGGCGATGTTGTGAAAGATCTTTGGCACCAATCAGCTGAATGGCGAAGTTGTTTTTGTGTTTGATTTTCTATCTTCCGTTCGGTCAACTATCTCGCTCGCACACCGCCACCCCGTCCCGTCAAGCGGTCTTCGTCGCGCCGACGCGCTGTCCGTACAATCCGTAGTACAACCCCCTCTCGATCTACCCGGAGATACGATTTTTATTTCGTACCGAAATTCGTCTCAAAAACATTATAACGAAACACAACCCGATGCCGATATTGTACAACCACAACAGCAGCGCCGTTGCACCGTCGTGAACGCATATCGCTTTTTAACTCATAATAAAAACGAATCAATCCTCAGACACCGCTCGCATCGCGCCGCAATTTTCCGAGACCCGGTACCGTGTTTTTATTTTTATACGTCCACTTTCTTTCGTATTGTCGTAATCACACGGTGCACCGAGTAGCCGGAGCTGTTTTCAATCATTGGAACGTATCTATGTAGTTAACTCCGCTCGCCGCCGGCAACGTACCCCCTGACGTGCGCGATCGGAAAAACAAACAGACGCCGCGCCCCCCGGCTGCCGTGTTCGAGGTCCATGTCATTGTCACTGCTTGTTCTGCGCCGTATACACGCGCCAGCTCGCCGTCTCGCCGGCGTGTCCACTGGAACGAAACGTATACAACACTCCGTTGGCCTGCCGCCGGCCGTGTATGTGTAGTACAGCCGTCGGACTCCGGACGTCTTCAACGCCATCCCGTGAGTATGATGATAATAATTATATGATTCACACGGGGCCATCATATCCGTCGGCTGGTAGGTTGTCGGCGGTGGGAGAGATGAGATTTCTGGGGACACCCGAGTGCTGGCTTCGTCTGTCGCCGTAATATCGTACACAATCACACTAGTACGGCGGCTGGTCGACCAGCACATCACGGTCCATAATATTATTATACCCACTCAACAACTGTCGTAGTATGTCCCCCACATATTTTGGCGCTTCTGGTGCTGTGGCGGCGAAGAATCGTCGTTGTACAAACAGTACGTCTTGTGTTTCAGGATGACTATTGTGACTCGTGGACAAACCGTCGGATTGGATTCGGCCGATAACCAGACAAACGTTCAAGTGAGTACAATTTCTTGCTGTTCGATTGTGCTCAGACGAATGTAATATACTCTATGAGACATTAAAATAATTTTTTCCCCTCTGTAGAATGTACCGCAGCAAAATACACAAATCCATAGCGTTCTGTCAAACATCAACATTTTGCAGCCTCAGGCCATTGAGTCACATCAAGTGCCTGAACAGACTGGGGAGACAACATCAGCTGATGACAGTGCTGAAAATGATGTGGAAACCAAAGAAGAAGAAACCATTAAAGAAGACGAGATGGAGGAAGAAGAAGAACTGGTATTCCCTATTATGAAACTAGTTAATTTGGAAGAGAAAATACATAGCCAACGTTGGATTGTACCAGTATTACCTGATCAAGAATTATTATCGTTGTTGAATGTTTCAATCGCATTTTGTAAAAAAGGATTGGACATCAACAATGAAGGATGCCAAAAATTTTTTCGTGATGCTATGGTGTTATCATTTACACGAATATTAACCGATGATGCCGTCAACAGTTGGAAAGTAAACATTCAACAGTATATCATGAATAATTGTATGAAGTTAGTAGAACTGTTGGTGCTCAAACTTGACGATGACAACTTTCCATTTCTAGAGATGTTGGGGATGTTGTTTAATCCTTTAAATAAGTAAATAATATATTTTAAACTGTTGTTGATTTTGTTTATCAAATCTTTACTTACCAACAGATTTCATCTATTCAACTGTACTAAACATTCGGATTATATACCAGAAATCAGCACAAACGATTTTGATTTATATGCAAGAACACCGCCTGATTCGCGAGCTCCTAAAGGCTGGCTAGTTGATCTGTTAAATAAGTATGTAACAAGTTGAAAGTTGATAATTTTAATTTGTAAATTTTCAATGTACTATTTTTCAGATTTGGAGTCTTAGGCGGTTTTCAAAAATTATCTGGACGATTTGAATCTAATAAAACCCTAACTATATCAATTATCTCTGGTCTAATTAGGCCATTCGGTAATTGTTCTGAACTTTTAACTGAACCAACGATTCTTAAGTATTTGATGCCTATTGTGGTATGTATGTTTTTCAAGTGTATATAGCATGAATTAAATTGTATTATTATGAATTTAAAGGAAAAAATACCTAGTCTATTGGATGTATTAACTGATGACGAGTTGAAAAAAGAAACCAAAAATGAAGGAAAGAATGATGCAATTTCTTCAATAATTAAGGCTTGTAAACAGCTTGCTGTGAAAATCCCAAAACAGGATGATTTAATTAAACAATTAGAGATATTTAGACTTAAAATGTTACTTAGGTATTTATATAAAATTTATTACCATTAATATTATGTTATTATTATGTGTTCATTGTCTATTGTTTAATATTAATTTTGAATAATAGATTATTACAAATATCGTCTTTCAATGGCAAAATGAATGCCTTAAATGAAGTTAATAAAGTTATTACCAATGTCACATACACTCCTCACAGGCATATAGATCATGATGAAGAATATTTAACTCCAGAAAAGATGGCTGTGAGTTTTCTTGAATATATATAATAATAACCTATTACAATAGTAATGTAATATAAACAAAATTTGATCTTTTGTTTTGTTTTTATATATAGAAATGGATCAAAGAAAATAATGTACTAGAAATAGTACTAAGAGATTCTCTACATCAGCCTCAGTATGTAGAGAAACTTGAAAAAATTATACGTTTTGTGATTAAAGAACAAGCATTATCGTTGAATGATTTGGATGCATTATGGGCAGCTCAAGCTGGGAAACATGATGCTATTGTGAAAAATGTCCACGACTTATTAGCAAAGCTTGCTTGGGATTTTTCGCCAGAACAACTTGACCACTTATTTGAATGTTTTCATGTAATAATTAATAAAAATATATTATTTATTTTTAAGTGAATACTAAATCATTACTCATTATAGGCTAATTGGACTAATGCTAATAAAAAACAAAGAGAAAAATTATTGGAACTAATAAGACGACTAGCTGAAGATGATAAAGATGGTGTTATGGCTCACAAAGTAATTTCAACTTATTATTTAAAATAGCATAATTTATATTATAAATTAACAATTTTGTTATTTAAAAACATGTACCTAGGTGTTAATGTTGTTTTGGAATTTGGCTCACGGAGAAGATGTATCAACTGAGATAATAGATCAAGCACTATCTGCTCATGTAAAAATTTTGGATTATAGCTGTGCACAAGTAATAATATTTTTTTCTGTGATATAAATATATAAAGATGATGGTACTTATTAAATGTTAATATTAATTAATTAGGACCGTGATGCACAGAAAACAGCATGGCTTGACAAATGTGTTGATGAACTTAAAAGTAATAGTTCATGGGTACTTCCAGTTCTAAAACATATGAGAGATATATGTATGTTATATGATTCTTCTCCAGTGGGAGCTCATCAAGCTCCAGCACATACTTTGTATCGGTGAGATATAAAAATATATTTATAAAATAACTAATATCCATATTATATTTTATTACATTATATGCAAAATCCAAAATAACACTAGTATTTAAGTAAATGTATAAATACGGTTTTTATATACCGTGTGTTCAATTTTAAAGGTAACAGGAAATATTTCGATCGTGTGACATTGAATTTGAATCGGGGTTTTTATACTGCATTTAGGACTTATAAATGCATATTTTTTTAATGAATTCAAATTTTTAATTTTTTTTTATCAGCGCATGCACAGTAAAATAAAAATTTCTTAAATAGCAACCACTATTTTGGAGACCGGATTTCGATTTCTTTATTTTTTCTGAACAACTTTGATCTTTACAGTTTGTTGATATCTTCAAAATTGCCATGTTTATGACGGTCGGAAGTTTTAAAATAGTTAATTTGTAAATATTGCATTTTTCAACGGTCTATCTTAATTTATAGGTATTTATAGGTATTATTATAACAATTTATTTTTATTAAAACTACTAAATTATCTACTACTATTATCTTAATTTGTTTTTAATAGTATTATAATGAAAGTTATACTATTAACCTGTGTGAATAAGGTATTTTGATAGCATTCTAAAATTGATTGTGAATAGTCAAACGTTTTTCGTAAGTCCCGCGTGACACATTATTTTCTGTACAATGGCAAACTATTCCGAAAAAACCGATATGGTATTAATTTTTGGAGAATGTCATCAAAATTCGCGTAACGCAGCGGCACTTTATGCTGAACGATATCCCGAGAGATATCATCCACCACACAATTATTTACGAATTAACTATTTTAAAACTTCCGACCGTCATAAACATGGCAATTTTGAAGATATCAACAAACTGTAAAGATCAAAGTTGTTCAGAAAAAATAAAGAAATCGAAATCCGGTCTCCAAAATAGTGGTTGCTATTTAAGAAATTTTTATTTTACTGCGCATGCGCTGATAAAAAAAATTAAAAATTTGAATTCATTAAAAAAATATGTATTTATAAGTCCTAAATGCAGTATAAAAACCCCGATTCAAATTCAATGTCACACGATCGAAATATTTCCTGTTACCTTTAAAATTGAACACACGGTATAAAGTAGGAATTGTAATGATGTGACATGTAAATTTATTAGAGCCCAAAACAAAGACAATATTTAGTATTTACAGTTCTTAGTGTTTATCTTTATACATTTGCAGACAAGAGATCATTGCACGTCTTCAAAATAACCATACTTTAGTGTCTTTGGTCACAGATAATTTATCCAAATATATGGATGATGTGAGAAAAGTTGCCCAAGGTAAATTAATTTTAAATTTTTTATAAAATATTTTTAGTAGGTACTTTACAATAATCAAATTTATTTTAGAAAATCATAATCTTGATCCCGCTAATTATTATCCTGATGGACGCTATTGTCATTTACAACAAGTTCAAGAAAGATTGTATTTCTTAAAATTTTGTTTAAAGGTAACTCCAATTAAATACTTAATAACATGAATGAAATATTTTAAAGAGATTTGATAATTGTTGCTTAGGATGGAAACCTTTGGCTGTGTGCTGAACAAGCACATCAAGTTTGGATAGCATTGGCTGAAAAGGCTGTGTTCTTAGCAGACCGTGAAGCTTGTTTTCGATGGTTTTCAAAATTAATGGGGGAGGAACCAGACATTGACCCCTCAATTAATACAAAATTTTTTGTTAATAATCTCTTGCAGCTTGATCCAACATTACTTACTGAAAATGGAATAAAGTATGTAAAATTAATCATTTTTTTTTATCCATAATTGAAAATGCAAACTATTTAAATACTTTCTAGATGTTTTGAACGATTTTTCAAAGCAGTCAATGTAAAAGAAGGAAAATTACTGAAAAAAAGACGTTGTTATCAGATGGAGAATATAGATTTAATTGGTGTAGATTATTTATGGAAAGTGGTGACTAATTGTACCGAAGACATTGCAGCCCATGCAATACATTTGCTTAAAGAAGTCAATACGAATCTGGCTCCTAGACTGCAAGCCAATCCATTAGAATTTCACCAAACATTTGTGGCCGAGTGTTTAGAAAGGTTGCGTGCTCATTATGACACCGTAAGCATACTATCAAAACCGTTAATGAACAATGATGATGTAATTGAAAGAAACATAGAAATCACTAAAATGATCAGGGTTATGAAAGTGTTGTATGAGTATTTAGGAGAATGTGACGCTTCTTTTAATGGAGATCGTTCATTGTTGCCATTACACAGGTATATATATTTAATTTATATTTTATAGTTTATCATTAAAATAATAATCAAATTACATTTTTTATAGAGCTTGTCGAGGAAAACATATAACTGT